ACCAATCTTCATTAAGTGCCACTGATTCTAAGGTGTATGTTCAAATAAATATTATTATTACTATTTTTATTATTATTATTATTATTATTATTATTATTATTATTATTATTATTATTACTATTATTATTATAAAATGTCAATTACTAAGGTGAAAAAGAAACATTATGATCCAAGAAGCAAAAGCAAATTTTTGACGACAGCCATTTTGAAATTCACAATATCGGCTAGGTTACAAACAGGAGGATAGTAAATTGGATTCATGGACCATGTTGTACTGGTACAGGTCTTTGTAACCATGATACTGGATCACCTATGGTGGCTATATAAACGGTATACAATTAGCTCTTATAGACACTACATGTTAATGCAAAAAAAAAAGTACATTGACAAATTTAGCTTGTGTCTTGTATGAACTGCTATTTTTTGTGAGTTTTACTGGAGGTACTTTTGGGGCCTTTTTAAAACTTTACATTTCTTTTAACTAGGTGTATTTTTAGTATACTTTTAGTATCTTCTATGCAATAAAATCAAACTTCAGCTATTAAATGCAAGTAAAATTTTTGTTCTTCAGTATGTGATTATCCACTGGGTATGGAGAATGGAGACATTCCAGACAGTAGTATAAGCTACTCAACAACAAGCCTTACCTCTGGAGAGGGGTCTGGAAGATTCAATGGAAGAGACTGGGAGCCAACTGCTGACGATGGTGACCAGTACATTGAGGTGGAATTTTCTGGACCTACAGTGATCACTTCCTTTGATTTTCAGAGGTCACCTGATGGCCCTTACATAACAGAATTCAGAATAGAGTACATTACAGAGGAGGGTGGTAACTACGTTGATGATGACACTGTAAGTACTTCTTAATTTTTTTTCTATATTTCAGATTCAAATTTATATATGTTTATTCAGTTTCTAATAATAGTAGAAATTAATGAAAACCACTGAACCCCTTAAGTCTTAATTTGAAACTTAGTTTATTTAGCATCGCATAGATTAAAAGGAAGGCCAATGTACACAGAGCGTGGTATAGTAGGGGGCAACCAGAGGTGGGGTTGAGGGAGTCCTGACTCCCATCTCATATCAAATTTTTACAAAAATATCCTGATTATAGTAATAAATGATTGGTAATTTAAAAAATATATATATAATATATGAAATGTAAGTCACTCTCCTTTTATTATGATTAACAGAGCACCCAGTAACTGAGTGACCCTTGCCGTGTCATCTAGAAATCTCAAATGTTGTGTGTACAGAAATAATCAAAATTGAAATAAAAAACATTTTGTTACAGTCATGGTAACTCTCCAGTTACCTGTATCGAGGTAGTAAATGATAACACTGTAATTAAACTAAACTAAAACTCAAAAAGTTTAATTAACGGTCCATTTGTACTTTTGTTTATGGTTTTATTTTCTTCTCTATGTTGTTAAGCGCATCGAGGTTGTGACAACATGAGGTGCTATATAAATCCAGAATTATTATTATTACAATTATTATTCCTTATTACAGTATTATTTGGTATAAATAATCAGAGAAGAGTGTAAGTTAACTCTTCTCTGGTATAGTACAGTTTAACCTCCCAGTGCGACCACTTCCTTAAACTTCCACTCTCATATGGTTCCATTTGTTCTCCCTATCTAATCTGTGCATTTGATACATCTTGTGCCACCACCTTCCATGAAGTGACCGCGAAAACGCTTTTTGTCTTTATGATTTACCTACGCTTTCTGACGTCCAATAGAACAACATGCCTGTTTTAAGTCCTATTTAAAAACTTTCATTGGCGGTTCATGATTATAAAATCATTACCCTTTGTTTTCTTGTTTACACATTACGTTCAGGCTGATTTTTTTGTTACAGGTTTTAATATAGAAACTAACATGGTGAAACCTCTCTATCTTTTATGGCTTAAAATAACACAATTTTTAAAGAGTTTGGCCCCTGGACCCCGACGGGAGACCCTTGTCGGTCCCAGTCTAGCTGCTCGCTGTGCTCACTAGGCTTGACCCCCCCCCCCAAAAAAATTTTACCGTGGTTGTGCCCCTGGCTATAGAGTAGTGGCAGAAAAATAGAACCTATTATATTTTCTGTGGTGATCCACACAGAATGGTATATAGCTGAGCAATATGTCATTTACCATGAATCATTCCTATTTCCACAAAAAATGTTACCCACCAAAAAATATTCTTTGGTCATCCTTTGCAGAGCACAGAGACTGAAAATCAAACTGCAAAAGTCGTATACTGTGGAAATAATCGCACTCTGCGAATTAATGTTTTTGTCCCACTTGTCATGCATTTAGTTTAAATAGGCCTTAAACCTTCAGTGGTAAGATATCTGCTCTTATTCTGGACCCCTGGTGTTCATAACCCTGACCATGATTACACAATTGAATTTGGGCAGTAAGACATCAGAAGTTTTAAACAAATTATTAAAATGTTTTTGTGAATTGTCCGATTCACTGGGGAAGCAATCAAACATGACACAGTTAGCCAAGATATTTTATTTCATTTCCCCCTCAATGATGATAGGCCTAATGAATGTTCTGTATTATGGGTGGGTCCTGTTGGGAATAAAATGTATGATAATGTCTATAGTAAAGCTCACATTATATAAAATCGTAGAAAATTTCAAGTAAGAAAGAAAATTAGCAATTTAAAGAGAAAGGGTATATTCCATTTAAGCAGGCATCTATGGGTACCATATTTTAAAAATTTGCTCTCCTCTGCCCCAATCAGGATGGGACTGTTACGATGGGTGTTGGTGAGGACTGAATATTTTTAGTGACATAAACCGAGATTGAGAAAACCAAGGTTATAGACATAACATCAACTTTACCATCTTCTGTTTTCTTTCCACAATGCTAAAATATTATTTGTAAAATATGAAAAAGAAGACTATAAAATTGTTTTTGTTTTGGAATGATTGTTTTAGGTTTTCAGTATCCTGTATGAAGCCAATAGAACCACCACTCGAGTTCCAATTGTCCAAATCACAGTTGTGGTCATCAAACTCGTCCCATTATCCTGGGAAGGTCGCATCAGTGTTCGTTTGGAAATGTATGGCTGCCCCTATGGTGAGTAAGACTATCATATATATTATGGCAGAAACTGCCAGTTGCCTTTTCTATTCAGTTTCTTTTTCGTGCAATTTGTTTAGAGATATATGACAATCCAGTATTAGCACATACTGGATGTTGTAGTCTATGTTGTGAATACCAGGATATACCGACTAATTGCTACTGTTCTTTAAAGAATGCCCCACGACAAAAATAGAACCAACCGGTCGTCCCATCATGTGACATATGCTGTAATCTTTGAAACATTTACATTGTTAATATGTTGTATTTATTATTGTGACCATAACATAAATTTAATACATAAAGTCCAACTCTGTTATATGTTTTGCTTTTAGAACCAACAACTTCAGCTGCCACGACTACCACTGCTAGAACAACAACTGTGACAACACCAGTGGTGACAATTTCAACTGCACCAGGTATGTAAAGAATATTACCATTCTAAACAAAGAAAGCTATGATTTGGGATTGGTATACTGTTTTTTAAGTGTTGGTTTCCCTTATTAAAAAAAAAATAATGAAATTGTTAAATTCACAGCAGAAGAGCTCTTTCTGCAATACCATGTGATTTGCCCATAATAATATGCCCATATATATTTGCCCATATAATGTTTTTATATGATCAAATCACACAACTTTTAACATACTGTATCTTACTAGCTGAATGCTATAATTTTTCATCAGTATTATTACAAAACAATTTTTTTTTACAGTTTGTATGTATGAGCTTGATGAGCTGGATGAAGAAACAGGAGGTTCTTACAATTTTAGATTTAGTGATGTAAAGACCGTCAATGCTATAACAATCACACGAAACGCCTCCCAACCAGCAGGTACGGTTGCATATGTTGTCGTCAAGTTACTTGAAAATGGTAACGAAGAACCTGTGTTGAATGAAGAGGTATGTTTAACCTATTTCTTTTTTTTTTTTCTTGAATTGCCTCTTTATATTAGCATCAAGCTATCTGTATTGGCTTTAACTTTATTAAATGATAATAAGTTAGTAATGAATTACCTATTAAAAGCAAGGAGGGATGGATCCAGAAGTTTTCAAACAGTTTCAGAATAGGTGAGTAGCACATAACATTGATTTTCATAGAAATTTTAAAAATTTAGTGGCAAAATGGATGTGGGGGGTGGAGGGGAGGCCCGACAGCTATTTCTTTGCGGCCCGCGAATATGAATTAAAAAGCCTATGTGTGCGGCCCGCCAAGCAACATTGGCTAGAAAACACCTTGTTTTTTATAGCCCGACACCGATCATATGTAAAAAGTAATATTAAAACTGGGAATAAAGTGATGTAAAAAGAGTGCTTGAAGGTTTTTGAAAGATCAAAGTTTGGGTCCGGCCCTCGGTGTTAAATCAGAAAGTCATTTTGGCCCGCCGAACGATTTTTATGCCAACCTCTCTGATATATGGGCATACGACAGAAAAAAAAAACATAGAAAATCTGATAATCTTGAGAGAGCTTTAAGCTCAGTTTCCATACAATTGCTACACCCTATCACCGATAGATTTTGGTGATGCTGATTGGTTGGTCGAATCAGGGAGCCTTCCCGATTGCATCGGGGACTGCTACACAGTACAACGCGATTGCACCGAAAACACTGTAGCCACAGTGTAGGCTTGGTTTCCATACAATTGCTACACGCTCTCGTCGACAGCTTTTGGTGATGCTGATTGGTTGGTAGGAGACTGCTAGACAGTAAAACAATTGCAATGTAGCGACAGTGTAGAGATTTTAAGAAAACCAGGCTTTATTTGCATAGAGAGGACTTTTTATTTATTTATTCCTGCAGTATACACCAAATTTGAAATGAAAGTACCACTGGGGGACATTCATAGTTATTTAATTTTGTTACCAGTGATTATCTGTTGCCAATGAATTGGCTTTCTTTCTTGTTGTAACCTAGTATTTTTGGAACAAAATGCCCTAAAACAATAGGGCAGTGCATAAGACATGCAGTGTTTTTGGTTGTTTTTTAACTGCTGCTCTGCTGGATGTCCCCCAGTGAAAACTTGCAAGACTTCAAACATTGGTGGCGCTGTTTCATAATACGCCCAACAAATTGGAGTATAGGAATGCTCAAAATACATCTCAAGGGTCAAATGAGGAGCTTGCAGTAGAGAGACATAATAATAATAATAATATGTAGAAATTTATAACGAGCCAATTCAAAAAACATGTAAAAACACATAAAAATTACAAAAATGCAAAGTTCATATAAGAATCATTAATAATTACAAATAATTATTATTAACAATTTAATATTTGTATTACATTTATACAGTTATTAAATTAATTATACAATTATTAAATTTAATTGGGATTAATTCAGTTGTTCAGGCACAAGATTGAGAATATTGCTATTTACAGTTTTTTGATATACAATAAATATGATGACTATTAAATGACTTCAACTAATTGCAAAAAATATCATCAATCACAAAAACATATTCTATTTATTAAACAATGGCTGTATAGAAGTAGTAAGTAAATAACATAAAAATGTATAATTTCATTTTTATATATTTTAGTTTTGTGTCATTAAAAAAAGAAATGTTAAAACAAATCTGTTTACAAAAATGAAATATTCTTCTTTTATTTAAATTATGAAACATTTTAACAATCTTTTTTAGGGAGCAACAAAGCTCTTTTTGGCAGACTTGATTTCTTCAAACTCTGACACCACTGAAGATCTCGGTATTACTGATGTCGTTGGAATTAGACTTGATAGTATGGATGCAAATTACACTGTCTCCATATATGGATGCCCACTTTGTAAGTTCACTGGGAAAGCTATGTATTTATGTATGTCTGTTATCTGGATGCAGATATTTTCATAATAATTATTTATTTTAATTGCAAGTTTGTGGTCATTAGAAAAAGAAATTATGTAAAAACAAATCCATTAACAAAAATCCACATCAAAGCAAAACAAATTATAAATTTGTCAGATTTTATTAAAGAAATGATTTTGGCCTGAAGCCCTTATCAGGTACACATTTTTATATATCTCATAT